CAATAAGAGTTTATAATTACTTTTGCATCAACAGCACAAGTATGGGAGGTCCTGATAAGTAATGCAGAACAGAAGTTTTTGTGCATGTTAAAAAAAAAAAAAAAAAAAACTTTATTAAAGTTTTCAGCTTTCTGGGGTTGCTGAATGGGTACAGTCTGTTTGAATTGTCGGCCAATTAATAGGTTGAACAGCCAATTGGAAGGTAAGAAGATTTGTGGCATACTTGACACTTTGCTGTCTGTTATTGAGGTATTTTCATGGTAGGGGGCTTTTAAATCAGTTTCTATTAATGTAGTAGAAATTTTAATTTATTTATTTTTGTTTTGAGTAACTTATTGCCAATGTGTTGCATACAAGATTTCTAGCCAATGGCTAATTTGCTATCCTTGTCCCTGGCTAGGCTTTTCTACCCATAAATACAGAGCAATACTCATAACAAATCATCACTACCATGTACCTTAATTAGGCAGCAAATTCAAATCTGAATAAAACAAATAAATCACATCATATCAAAAATACAAGTTCTAAATTACAATATTAAAAAAATGTAAAACATCAAACAATTCCATAACTGTATTGCATTAGCTAAAATCAGCAGTACCTAATAAATTACAATCTGAGCATTTGTATTAAACTGCATTTATGGTTATCGGTGATTACAAATTTGGTTTTGGTTTAACTGGTTTTTCCATTTTATTTTTAAAGAACATTTTACCTGAGAAAGCAATAAGACCATGACTCCTGTGTTTGGAGGTTTATACATAAAACTGTTTAGACAGGAACTGTTGTGTTTAGAGATAAATGTACATAACTTTATGCTTGTTAATCGCAATAGTAGCAAGTCTTGGGGAAAAAAGTATAGGAATGTGCACGATATGCACATGAGCTCAGGTTTAAGTAACTAAATCAAAAATCACAGTTTTTTCCCCCTTTAAACATTGTGTCAAGTGTAATGTTAAAAGAAATTAAACTGATCTATTATGGAATCAAAAACAAGTAAACAAACTGGCTTCATAAATTGGCTATTGGTTGCCCTTATTTCTTAAGATGAGCATTGGGATCGTTCATTAATAAACTAGACAGTTTAATTCTAAAATTGTAATAACTGTCTCTTTTTGTTTGAATAAACAACTTATGGGAGCTCCATCAAATGTCTTAGCTTGTTTGTACAAATCTCTTGAATCTGTACCAAAATGGCCCATCTGCGAAGACTTTTCTCCATTCAGTAGTCATGCTGGTGAAGATTCAGTCTTCCAGGTCGACTCGTGATCAGTCCCAAAAAAAGATAAAACACAAAAACAACTGGACTTCTATTCTGAAGATAAAGACATTTCGCTTCCCATCCAGGAGGCTTTATCAATTACAAAATGTCTGGAGTGTGTGAAGAAGACCCAAGCTGTCTAAAACTGCAAGCGGGGCATGAAGTTGCAGTTTTATAAAGCTTGGGTCTCCACACACTCCAGAAAATTTGTAATTGATAAAGCCTCCTGGATGGGAAGCAAAATGTCTTCATCTTCAGAATAGAAGTCAAATTGTTTTTGTTTTTTAAACTTTATTTAAATTATTCAATAGTCATGTTTTGGTCAGTTTCAGAATGCTATAACTATAGCAATCATTTCACTGACCTAATAATTTCAAGCTGCAATTTTTGTACATTAAATAGTGCTAGCCCAAGGAAGGAGCAGACAGTTAAGAGGAAACAAGGCCTCGTGCTGCTGTCAGCTCCTTCACATCCAGTCTCCCAAAGATGAAAATGGACACTTCCTGCAGTTAAAAGCTGGCGTATACAAGCTACAGCACTTTTTCAGAGCCTTTCAACCTTTTTATTATTTTCTGCATTTAAGATTAGTCATGAAATATAATAAACTGTTTTCTACTCCATCTGCACTTTGAAGACAGTGGGGAGTGGCATTTATTCATAGCTGGCACAGGCTGCAAATACTTATGTATGAATAGCAACGTTAAGTCTCAATCACAACACATTTTCCTGGAAAACGCAAAATGGCTCCAGAGGAAAACAGACACACTAGAACGCAAGTGTGCAGAATTAAAGTCTAAAGCCAAACTGAGACAGACTTTAAAAAATGCTTTTACACCCTAAAATTATAATCAGACACTTTAACAAATAGTTTCGCCAAGGACAAATGAAAGCGCGTTAGGCATGCATCCTCGAAAATGTCTCTCCAAACACAGGCAGGGAAATTAAAATCCCATTCAAGCACCAACCAGATCCATGGAAGAGTACATAACTGTCTGCTGCAATAGTGGTGGCCCCAGCTCAAAGAATTAATCTGCCATGTTTTCGTCAAACCTCTTGGGATGCGGTGCATAAAACATAGGCACATCATCAGAGTTCAAGGAAGAGATGCACGTGATATGGCTTCAAAGTCCAGCTCACAAACACACCAACACCAGCATCCTTACAACTACTTGTCAAGCACAGAAAAGCACAGCAAAGGATGTTCTGTGGATTATCTTCACAGGAAACCACGTGCAAGTGTCCACTTTTACTTACTGAGCACGCATGCAATGAAAGCTACAAGCCAATTATGTCTATAGCTAGCGGGGAGACTACTCCGCTTCACGTGACATTGAAGCTCTAGGTTTACCCACCTGTACTGCTCTGTGGGATGCCACTAGCAGAAACATCCATGGCCAATCTGAGTACTGCAAGGCACTCTCCCTGCTCTAGGTGAACAGGAACTGTTGCAACTAAGCTAGACTCAACCGTTTAAAGTCATTAGTACAACTACTTACAGCTTTATTCAGCCAATGCAGTGCCCAGTGGAGAACAGAGCACAGGCGTAGGCCCTCCCACCTACAGCTTTCATATAAAGTAGTCTTTCGTTTCTTTTCAAAGTTGTGTTTAGAAAAGTAAAATTTGCAATAGGCAGGCTAAAATTTTATGTTCCAAATCAGCATGGTGCGCTTTTAATGTAAGATGATGAAAAGTACTTTGGTTTTATTCACTGGGTGCAAAAGGAACAATTTGTCAACTTTTCACCAACATGCTTGATTGAACACAAAATGTCTCGAGTGTAATAAAAGATGCATGGGATGCGCTAGACCCTTGGCACGAAAATGAGAAGCAATTTTAAGACGTTTGCTGCTCGTGAAAGACTGGAGGGAAAGGGAGGCAAACAAAATGCTTTCATTAAGTGCCCTGCAACATCTTCTTATTTCACCCAATTTTCTTCATATCTCAGCTGCAAATAGGGCATCAAAAAATGTGCTACACTGCATGCAACCTTCCACATTTTCCCTTTCCTTTAAATGTGCAGATTATCCATCTCTGATTAACACTGAATATGTTGCTTAGCAACAGACAATTAAGAAATATGCTTTCCGATCAGCAGAAAAGGCTGCCCGTTATCAGATGAATTAACAGAAGCAACAAATGTCAGCTACATACAAATGATGTGATAAGGGTGGTTGGGGGAGGGCTGTCACTGCGACCTTGAAAAGAAACAGATTTCCTAACAAAACTCAAAGAGGACCTATACCACTCCAACAACTGGATTTCCCATCTCCGCTTCTCATTTTCTTGACAACAAGTGAAAGGAGACCACTTAATAAAAGTCATTACTGTGTAACAAGTGCAGGAGCCCACAGACCCATTAAAGAGGGAGTTGCGACACGGGGTTACATAACTAAAAACAGCGTTTAAAGATTTTATTTCTCCCTAAGCCAATCAGCTCAATCAGCAGGGAGACGTGTTGTATTGTAAAAAGCAAAAATCAAGGCATAAAATTTAACAATTAGCCAAGATTATGTTTCCTTAGCACAATTAACTGAAAATAAAGTGGCTTTACTGTTTTCAGGTCCACAATATATCTGTGCCATTCTGCATACTGAGACCATCAAAATAATTGTATTCAAAAAAGAGAAAATAGATACTACTGTGGCACACAAAATTAGAAAGAAGCTTCATCTATCTACAAGCGCTATTAAAAAACACTCTTTCAAAAATAAAATTGGGGTAATCGTAGTTTTCCTCAAGAACATTTCAATCCAACTGAATTTCTAAGCGCTGTTCATCAACAAAAATACTGTTACACATTTCCATCCAAAAAATTATAGCAAATAAAAACAGGAAATCTTTAAATTATAAAAGAACATTTCGATTTTGGATTTAAAAATTTATTTGGGGCTCATTTACTTTTATGACAAAGAAACAACTTTTCATTTGTATTGCACAGCAACAGGAGTTTAGAGATATAAAAACAGTTTCCTATTATAGTCTACGCAAACATACATCCAATTAGTGTAATTGGATTTGTAGCAGTTAAGCTCCAGATTAGAAGAGAGTACAGTGTAAAATAGAAAGACAGCAATCCTTTTACATACTAAAAAAACAAGCTGTATGTTCTGTTTTTGTCACTTAACTCGGTCTATCTAGAAAAAAAAAAGTGTTAGTACTTTTGAAGGACATCTGATAAGAACTATCCTGTATCTAAAAGTGTATTTCTTGAGTGTTTTATGTGTATCTGTATCAAACTTTCACCGTCATCCTTGAACACACCAAGTACAAAAACCTTTTAAAAAAGCCCCATTGCAAATCCAAAAGCGCAGTGTGCAAAAATGAATCTAACCGACAGCTTAATTAAAAGCAAACAATCAAAAAATGTTGACCTCAATAGCGCAAGTGCTGCTCATATGAAATGCTTCGACTTGGTGATGAGACAGGATCCCCTCTGGCAAATGACACAACTCTGTTGCAATAAATGTATAAATAGTTGCATAATTTAAAAAAAAAGAAGAAGAAGAAAAACCTCTCAGAGTAAAGCTGCTTAACTTGTCAGGCTCATCTTACATGCTTCTCTTCTTTTCAAAAACAATGTCAAGTGTGATTTTGATTTTGCACACTTAAGATCTATCACATGGAGAGCAAATATTCACCATGGATTTCATCCCAACTAAATCAGGAGATAGGAGTTACTAGAGAAACAAAGCAACAGCGATTGAAGAATTAAATGAGGAAAAATAAGTTTTGACATTACTTGTCTCAGGCGAGGTAGTCATGGTCGAGACTATAACGGGTGGACCAGTGCGGCGTCCCACCATCTTGTTGTTGGCAAGGTTTTGCCCTTGCAGAGTGGTGGAATTGGTGACAGGAACAATGGTAGTCTCAGGAGCACCACCAATTCCTTTCCGGAGAAGCTGTGGGCTGTGGAGGGGACTTGCTGCTCCTATAGGAGACACTGGGGGAAGATTCGGGGCTCTCTTCATCAGCTCCATGGGAGAGTAGGAGCCAGAGAAGGTTTTGGGTGCTGCTCCAGGGGTACCAGGGGCTGGTGGAGGCTGATGTCCAAGAGCAGACATAGCGAGACCAGTGTGGGGATTATACATGGAGAGAGGCCTTCCCTGGGTTGATACATTGTTATATCCTCCAGGGCTGACTGGATAAGTTCCAGCTGCCAGTGGACGTGTTCCTGGGAAGGTGGTAGTCTCTAGAAGATGCTGAGATGGTGCACTACTTGGTCTTCTGCCAAGAAACTCTCCCATTCTAGGGGACACAGTCTGGATGGTGTTGAGAGGTTGTTGCATCAAGTTGGGGTCCATTGTCAAACCCTGTGGCTGAATGTAGAGGTCATTCCGATGGCTGAAGCTGTTGGATCTGGTACGTGTTGCTGCCCCTCCTGTTTTGCATCCAAACACCACACGGGACAGAGCACGAGCTTGGGCCAAGTTTGGTGCCACAGACCTGATATCATGGTCCTCCATCATCCCCAATGTTGCCATGGAATCAAAGCCATGCTGTAGGAGGAGAGTAATGGTGCTCTCAGCCAAACCTTCAGCTCGCAGATAAGCCAAAAAGGCAGGGTCAACCATCCTTTTGGGGTCTGTAGCACTGGGATGGATGGGGGGCAGAGTAGAAGTCATTCCAGCTGTGGCAGCCACCATGGCTGAGGTGGGGTCATAGTTTGGGTCATAAGCCAACCGCTGGGAGGATACAGCTCCATAACCCCGTGGGAAAGCTCCGTCCATTCGCTGAGATGCTGGATCCACCACTGAACTGATGCCAGCTGGTGGGCAAGGTTCCAAGGAGAAGCTGTTGATGCTATTGTAAAGTTCACGGGCAGAAAAAGTCGGTGGCTCAGCAGCGTAAATTGGAAGAGCTTGTTGAATCCCGTAGATAGCAGGGGTAGAAGAGTTGCCACCAATACGCTGGACATCTGAGATCATCTTAGATCCCAGAGTTTCCCTGTACAAACGGCTCAGCTCATGATGAGGAGGGGGAGGAGGTGGAGGCAGAGGGGGAGGAGGCATAGCTGCAGACGTAGCACCAGAGGCCAGTAGAGAAGGTGTGGCTCTTCCTTGTCCTTGATCCCATGTAGGCCTCACCCCCCCAGCGCTGGGCCCATAATGCGAAGCTGATCTGGTGAGCAAGTGCTGGTTATCCCTGTAAAGCCCAGAATCTTCAGGTGGCTGACCAGATAAGGTAGCATCAGCCAAGTAGTAATCCTGAGTTGGTGCTGAAGCCCGGGCTGCCATCGCTCGCCTGAGGTAGAGGTTGCTGTTCAGATCAGGGACAGAGTTGTTCCTCAGTAGTTGCTGTCCATGCTTGTCCTGTCTGTAAAAAGAAGGCTGAATGACTGGACCCCGTTTCTCAGAAAGATCTAGATAATGGTTAAAGCTAACTTTACAGTCTTTAACATCCAGAGGTAAAGAATTCCTACGCCCGGTATTACCACAGTAGTGACAGCGACCCGCAGCCCTGTCGTTCTGGCCCTCTCCCCACGCAGGAACGCTCTGGCCCACCGAACCACCAAAATGTGACTGCTCGCTTGAGTTAGGCATCAGTAAAGACAACAAAGACAACAGCTACAAAGACAAAAAATAGAGCCAAGTATTGTGTTTCAACTCTCCAGTTACACTCACCCCCAATCAAAAGGGAGAAACAGAGAGGAGAGAAGGACAGGTAAAGGAGTAGGTAGATTTTTACCTGATCTGCAGCTGTACCCCCCACCCCCTTCCCTCACTCTTGAGTCTGTGCTATCATGTAGCTCCCTGCTGGCAGCCTATCTAAATAATTCAGCCCTGGAAACAGTAGAAATCCACATCGAGGGACATACAGCATGATAAAGACAGAGAAAACCCACACACACACACACATATTCGGACAGAAAAAAACTCACACACCTTTAGAGCGAGGCTCTACTCCACTCAGCAGGGATCATGCTTGGGCTAGCCGTCATGGTTTCATCCATACTAAGACTGAGGGCAAGAAATTGGGTAAAACCACATGCTGGACAATGGCAACAGACTAGAGGAGGGGACGAGACGTACTAATCCAATGGGGTTGATAGACTGTACTGTATTGGCAGAGACTGTCCCCTTGTCCACTACGTATGCCACAAGGGGATTAGCGTCAAGCTAAAACCTGCTTAAATCCACTACCACTGTGACATCACTTGGACTAAATAGTGTACATAGCCCACACACTGCTGAAGCCCCAGGGTGTGTTTATAGAGTCTAAGACAGGAGTGTTTATGGTGCTTACTGCTCACCTCTCTGCTGCCCTGCAGCTTGTATCCCTGTGGGTATGAATCGATCTTACCCGAGAGACAGAGGAGGACAGAGGCTAACATGCTGTATGTCCCTGGAGAGATGAGAAGAGATAGGCTACAAAGTCTACTCCCTTGAGTGCATCTAAGGCTTGCATTTATTCAGGTGACTGGTAGAAGAAATAAATAAATAAAATAATACAGGACTAGAACCATCCAAAACGCAAAGCCTCCTCTAGTGGACATGTATAGATTTACGTGTGTACACAAATGGAAAATGCATGTTAGGATACCAAAGGAAGTACAAAAAAAAATAATAATAATTCAGCATCTTTATTGCTTGAAGTTATTATTTTTATTTATCTTTTAAACAAATAAAGTCATAAATTTACCATTAGACATACACATGATAAAGTACAATATGTAACACAATGAAGATGCTTAAACATGGAAATTACTCAATTTTATGGAAACAATGGACTTTTGCTTTACACCAAATCCCACATTTACTAAAACAAAAAATAAAAAATTAATGATTAACTCTTAAAAAAAGAAAACAATGAAAACTTTTTTTTTTAATTTAATTACTGGTAATATCTCAGTAATTCAGTTAAAGGCTTTAGTTAAACACCTGAGTTGTATTATTGTTCAGCACAATTAGTTTTTGCCGCTGTGGATTTTCTTTTTTCTTTTTTTTAATAGATTTTCCCTCTTTCATTCTAAAACCAATTTTTTTTTGTAAAGCAAAGTTTAGAAATAAATCTTTTCCTTCCAACCACAGCATAAATTGCAGTGTGCAAGCAGTAAGTACTTGTCTTAATTTCTGAATCACTAAAGGCTAAAGACATTACCACTGAATGGTGATCTTTATTATCTACTAAATAGTTTAGTGTTATAATTTTTTCACACTGAATGCTAACAAGGGCATTACTACTAAAAGACAAAGATGTTCTTGTTGCTTGTGTAACTAAGTAATCTGATTATAAATCCAACTGAAAATATGTACTATGCAATTAAGATCAACAAAGAAGAAAATATCATAGCTTTTTTGCCACATGGTCTTGCAAGCCAAATAACTGCATATTTCCCGTGCACACGCATGCACACACACACATGCACGCACACACACACACACACACACACACACACACAAGCTGTTCAGTTGCTTGTTAACATAAATACACTGAACAAAAATATAAGCACAGCATTTGTTTTTGTTCCCATTTTTCATGAGCTGAACTCAAAGATCTAAGGTTTTTTTTTCTAAGAGGTCTTTTCTTTCAAAAATTATTCACAAATCTGTGTAAATCTGTGTTAGTGATCACTTCTGCTTTGCTGAGATAATCCATCCACCTCACAGGTGTGCCTTAGGCTGGTCACAAAAAAAGTCCGCTCTAAAATGCGCAGTTTACTTTTACTGTAGTAGGGGGTGACGTCAGAAAACCAGTCAGTATCTGGTGTGACCACCATTTGCAACACGCAGTGCAACACATCTCCTTCATAGAGTTGATCAGGTTGTTGATTGTGGCCTGAGGAATGTTGGTCCACTCTTCTTCAAGGCAGTGAAAAGTTGCTGGATATTGTCAGGAACTGGAACACTGTCATATATGCCAATCCAGAGAATCCCAAACATGCTCAATGGGTGGCATGTCCGGTGAGTATGCTGGCCATGCAAGAACTGGGATGTTTTCAGCTTCCAGGAATTGTGTACAGATCCTTGCAACATGGGGCCGTGCAGTACCATGCTTCATCATGAGGTGATGGTCGTGGATGAATGGCACAACAATGGGCCTCAGGATCTCATCACAGTATCTCTGTGCATTCAAAATGCCATCAATAAAATGCACCTGTGTTTGTTGTCCATAACATAAACATGTCCATACCCTAAGCCCACTGCACCCCCCCCCCCCCCCCCAACTGGGGTCATTTTATTCACAACGTACGATGTTGACTTCAGCAAACCACTCACCCACACAACACCACACACACAGTCTACCATCTGCCCTGTACAGTGAAAACCAGGAGTCATCCGTGAAGAGAACACCTCTCCAACACAATGCCTTATGCCATAAATTTTTTGGATGCATTTGCACATTCAAGTCAGTTACAACAAACTGCAGTCAGGTGGAGACCCCGATGAGGATGACAATCATGCAGATGAGCTTCCCTGAGACGGTTTCAGTTTGTGCAGCAATTATTTGGTTAAGCAAACTGATTGTTGCAGCAGGTATCCAGGTGGCTGGCCTTTGACCATACTGGAGGTGATGCTGCTGGATGTGAAGGCCCTGGGCTGGTGTGGTTACACGTGGTCTAGGGTTTTGATGCTGGTTGGATGTACTGCCAAATTCTCTGAAACATCTTTGGAGATGGCTTATGGAAGAGAAATTAACATTCTCTTCACGAGCAACAGCTCTGGGGGCCATCCCTGCAGTCAGCATGCCAATTGCATGCTCCCTCAAAACTTGTGACATCTGTGGCATTGTGCAGTGTGATAAAACTGCACATTTTAGAGTGGCCTTTTACTGTGGTCAGTCTAAGGCACACCTGTGCAATAATCATGCTGTCTATTCAGCATCTTGATGTGCCACACCTGTAAGGTGGATGGATTATCTCAACAAAGATGAAGTGCTCACAAACAGATTTACACAAAACTTATGGAGCTTTGAGTTCAGCTCATGAAAAACGAGTAAAAACAAAAGTGCTGCATTCATATTTTTGTTCCGTGTATTTAGTCAACTTAATACATGACAGAAACTCAGTGGCTTTAGGCACCTAGACACGATGAAGATGGTTTACAGAGGTTCAAACACCAGAACAAGGAGAAAGGGAAAGTTAAGTAAATATAAACAGGGCATGGTTGTTGGTGCCAGACTGGTCTGAATATTTCCAAAGCTGATGATCTACTGGGATTTTCACCTATAACCATCTCTAAGGTTTACAGACAGAAGTTGAAAATAAAGGAAATACACAGTGAGACGCATCTGGGTAGAAAAACATCTCCTGTTGAGGTCAAGGGAGAATGGGCAGATAGAAGATATAAAAGAAGTTCCAATAATTACTCAGTCCAACCAAAATCTTCAGAATACCATCTCTGAACACTAGGAATGTGCAACATATACAGTACACGGAAGAAACAATAGACATTCTACCGGCTAACCGCAGTAACACTGTGTCTGATGTAAAATCAGAGTTGTCAGATTTAATTGTTACTTTTTTTTGTTGAAAACTGTGCATAAGTGGTGTTAAAAGTCCTTTCTTCGAGAGCTAAGTAGCGAAGCTACAAGCTATCTATGGCCGGCTTGCCGTACTCTTATTCGGACGCATGCGCAAAATGCTGTTCCGTAGAAAGTTTTTTTTTTTTTTTTTTTGAAAGTTTTTTGGTCAATTTTAAGAGAGGGCATTTGAGCGAAAAAAAAAAAAAAAAAAAAAATATATATATATATATATATATAAAGGGATAAACCTGCTCTCTGATCTGTGAAAAGAACGCCGTGTTGTGTGATTTTACTGCGAAACCCTCTGGTCAAAGCCACAAAGGAAACTGGTCGCCATTTTGTGTCCGCTCTCCTTAAAGCAGAAGGAGACGCCCACTAGAGGGTTGGAAGGTTAAGTGTTTTCAGTGTAAAATGCTGCTCTGTTGCTGTTCATTTTTCAAGTGAGAATACTGGAAACTGTTGAGTTATCAACAAATTCCTTTATTTAAAACATATGGCTAAAACTACATTTGATATCTTTTACACCATTTTGCACTATAAGAAAGAAGCCCCATACTTGATTTATTAATTATTTAAAAACTCTCTGGACCTAAGAGTGGAATTTTTTTAATTGAGATTATTTTGTGGTACAGCAGTTTTCAAAATAAATGATGGCAAAAGGACACCCTATGCTTTTTTTCATTCCTATTGCAAGTTGTATACCAAAAACATATTGTGATATATATCGTTACCGCCACCCATCACAATACATATCGTGATATGAATTTTATGCCATATTGCACAACCCTACTGAACACTCAATATGTGGAACCAGATGGGATACAGCAGCAGAAAACCACAGCAGATGCCACTTCTGTCAGCTAAAAGCAAGAAAATGAGGCTACACTTCACACAGGCATAACAAAATTCAAACATCTTTGGAATGTGGTGGAATGAGAGATTTGCATCATGGATGTGCAGCCCACAAATCTGCAGCAACTGTATGATGCTATCATGTCAATATGGACCAAAATCTTCAAGGAATGCTTCCAACACCTTATTGAAACTATGAGACAAAAAAACTAAACCAGTTCTGGTG